GTCTTTATTCGGTGGTTATAGCAACTGCCAAGGCTTTATCACACCATATTCACCTCGGGGCGGGACATTAACCCTTAAGTAATCACAACAATCAAATAATACACATGATAACACATACTTGCTCCACAATTTTTTTTTTTTTGTGGAACTGTCACAAGGGTTTGTGTGGCCGCCATTTGGCGCCACAAGGTGACCTCAATATGACTTTCCCCAACCGAAGTTAGGTACCCATTCACTCCTGGGTGGAGTGAGGAAAGTTGGGGCACAATGTCGGGGCACATGTCCAGACATGTCCCGGGTACGACTCGGGATCGAACCCGGGTCTCCCCGCTTCATAGTCGAACGATCTACCACTACGCCACATTTAGAATTAGCAAATGAAATATATAATACATAAATCAAGAGAACAGAGGTACAGATTGACATAATCAACCAAAACTGAACAAAAATACAATGCAGGTGTACATGTACAGAGTGAACAATTCTTGAACAGACATCATCTATACATGTACTTAAACCAGAGTTTATGCCCATATTTTACACAAGTATTCCCCTGTTCTTTCTGTTTGGTTACAAGCCTCGGGGGCGATAATTCTTCACGTCAGACCTGATAGTCAGAAGTGGGTTCTTTGTGCCACCTACATATTTGTCATAATGCATTATTCATGCCTGTCTCACTGTGTCGGGGAAGCCGTTTTTCAAGATATGTTTGAATCCGTGATACTTCATCCTTAACGAGCACTCGTGACTAAAACTTATCTCCAAGCAGATGTCTGGTTTCCAGTTCTTTCTATGTGTTTTCCCTCAGTTCTTTTTGACAACATGTCCAACTTTTGTTCTTCAGCTATAGTGTCTCAATGTTTTTGAATGTGTCTGCATATAATATATGGCTTGGCCAATATGTTTGCCTCTTTTTATACAAAAGATATGATAGAGTTAACAGTATACAGTGCACTCCAAAAGCAAGATCAAAACCAAAACTATACTTGACAACCCTCAGAAACAATATTGCAAGTTACATAGTTAAAATGTTTCCTCCTGGTATGAAAATACATTCAGAATTTGTGAAAGTTGTTTACTGTGTTACAATAGAATATTATACTTAGTCAAGTTTCTTGAAATTGGAAAATACTTGAAATTTGACATACTTAGTACTCTGTACGCAGTACATTAAGTTCATATATCATATTAAACAGTGTAGTACAATATGTTGTACTTCGTTGGAGTGTAGTACAATATGTTGTACTTTGTTGGAGTGAACTTCGCACGACTTTTAGAGCGACATTACTGTATCATCAGTCAAAGCTTTACCATGCCCTCCAGCGACGTTCATGTTTATGACATGACGAACAGCACATATCCCCACTTCCCCAGCGGGACAATATGACAGATCGTCAGGTCGGTTTCAGCTGCAATTTACTACCGAGATATGGTGGAAAAAATCACCCACCGTAAATTTTACTTACTTGAGGAAGAAACGGATACAAATCACGAAAGTTTCATGAGTAATTTGTCAATGAATCAGAGTTTACACTTCTGTTATTCCAAGGACATTTCTATCCTTGTTTATACAGGACATTTTCTCACGGGAGCCTATGGGGTAGCTTTTGTCTCTATGTCGCCACCAGATGATGTATTAACTGTACTCTTTAGCGGACCAACTCCCCTGGCATCAGCATATTATATGTTTATTTGGTCAATTATATTTCTACTCTTTCCAGCCGCTTCTGAAACCTGGCTTGAAAGGCTAGTGATATATTCTCCCCGGAGGCGATTGAGAGCTCTGAGCTTTTAGAAAAAATAAACAGCTTTTTAGAATACAAATAAACAGACAGAGAAACATAGCCAAAAATGAAATTCAAAATTTTTCATTACGTACAACCGAAATTTGTACCGAGGTAGGGCATGCGGCGCGGTTACCCGTTCAGAACTTGGAAGCAAATGAAAATAGAGAGGATTGAAAAATCACTTTTTTTGTCAGGTTAACGTTGGATTTTCATCCACTGCTTTGGGAATTTACATTGAAATTATCTATCTTTGGTGCATGGAATATTATCAGTCTAATCACCGGCAAAGAAAAACACAGGCGACGTGAATTCCCTTGTCACCGATCAGGCTTTTAGCGGGCACGTGCTAATACGAACAATTTCAGCGTCAAGACGGATTTAAAAAATTGCTACAACAGTGCAAATCACTTAACTGAAATTTTTTGGGCAGATATTAATGATCAAAATTTGTCACGCAAGAGTTAGTCTTTGTTAGAATGTTAGAAAGAAATGAATGAATGACGTAGGTTTAGAAGGAAGGAAATGATGGAGAATGACGTATGGAACGTCCTCTTGTGGGGCCTAGCAGATGGTCCTGTCAGAAAACACTCAATCTTTCAACCTCCCAGACTCAAAATGACAACAGGAAAAAAGAACCCTTGCTTTATACAGACGACAAAGATACCAATTCTAGGCCTCCGTGAAAGAAACACTTTAGAACTGGAGAGTAAAAGGGAACTTCAGGACTCATCGAAAAATGATGGAAACAGATGATCAGATATTCTTTTCTTGACTTTCGCGCGTCCTGACAAACTGACCCCTAGTGACCCGAGGGATAGTTACTATAAAAAACACTAGTATTCCTTTCTAATCATATAACGTTAAGGTTTCAATCTTAGGGTTTCGGACGATACACAGAGAGATCGAGATACGAGAGACTATGGACGTCTAGGTTTCGGAAGTCAATGTTTTATGATGATGCACAATATTTTTCTTACGCAAGCATTTGCCTGTGACTAGAAGTTCTGACTACGCAAGCTTGTGCAGTGAAACCCGCACACAAACAATGGCCGAAGGTCCTTTATTCACCTGTTCTGCAGGTAGGACAACATTGTTCTTTCCAGGTGAGAAAGCACCTTGCCTATCAACCAATCAGGGAGCAGGACTCAGCCGTCCCGTGGTTTAAAAACGCGGGTTCTATCGGGCTTTCTGGTTGGTTAATTGGCCTTGACCAACCATGTGCGCCTGCGCGAGGCAATGTTTTGCACTGTCGCGCCAGTGGGAGAAGTTGTGGGAAATTTGTGAGGTCCACTAGTTTTTATGCCTCCAAAATCACATTTCCCGAAATCATAAGGACTCCAGGATTTCAGGAGTCTTTACCAGTCAATGTATCTATATGTGGGCGAAGTAGGAGGACCAGAAACGGCTGTGATCTGGAGATTTTTGCTATCAAAGTTGGAGGATTTTCCGACGAAGGCTGTCGGGGAGAGATAGGGTGCACCCCCTGTGGAAAAGCGTGGGAGGGCGAGGGGAGTGAGGTGGGTCAACCTTACGATTCCTGCCCCTTAACTACAGGTAAACCTCCTCCCTTAAGGCATATTTTCTTAACCTACATATCCATGAGCTTCTTCTTCAAATCGCAGTCTTCTTCTGAACGTAAAACGTCAACAAAGCGTACCTCCCTTCGCTGTTGTTGTCGGTATGTGATTTATTTGGTTTTGGCTATCTGAACTTGAGTCATTGTTGTTTCCGTTCTTTTGATTTTATTTTACTCCGTAGTTCCCCGGAAGCGCATTGTTTGTTGTGCGTGGGAGAGAGAGACGGCCGCGCGACCACAACACAACACTCTACCAACCTCCTCCACAACAGAGCCACGGTCGTAAACAAGGACAACCCCGCCACGGTTTTTTTTCCGCGACCCCTTTCAGATTTCAACCCACAAATTGAGAACTAAGGATTGAGAGAATTCCTCGATGCTAGCGATGTCTAGTTCTAACTCCGTGACGAGTAACGATGCCTGTTTGAGCATCGTGCACAGTCTGATGTGCCACAGGCAGGGCGGAGAGACAGAAACCTTCGCCAAGAGGGCCATAGAGAGCCTGGTGAAGAAACTCAAGGAGAAGAAAGACGAACTAGACAGTTTGATCACAGCGATCACGACGAACGGGGCACATCCCAGCAAGTGTGTGACCATACAGAGGACACTGGACGGAAGATTACAGGTAAGAAAACAATTATTATGATGATAAAGACATTTTCTTAAGATTTAAGAAACAATCAGAAGGTATTTAATCAGAGCAAACAGGCTTTGTTGGAGGTGTGTGCCAAATACAGCTGCACAAAAGCATGTTTTCACAAGGTTATGTAATTGACACAAAAGCGAAATCTACACATCTCCAAGCAGATATAGGCTATTGTTCAGTCTCAGTCTTTTACATGCATTTACATCATTTCGACAAATACAGCAAAGATAGATAAGATGGATAAATACGGCAAAAAAAAGAATGCATAATGCACTGATACTGCACCAAACCCTACATCTGCTTGGAGATATCTAGGTGTTATGCATACCTGGCCTTTTAAATGCTGGCTGATTTAAATAATCAGTGAATTTCAGTGCTTTTTCCAATGTGAAAAAAGCACTTAAACTGCAGGTACAAGCATGTGTATCCTTTGGAGAAACTTAGTAAGTTGAAGTTCTCTGGGTGCTATCTACTTGCCCAGTAAAATTGCTTTGTACATGGACACCACTTTCCCTGCCAAAGAAAAACAGATTTCCCAGTGATAAGATGTCAGCTCATGTAACCAGGAAACAAAGGAAAGTCTGGGGTGACATCTGAGTCGGTCGTAGCTTAGGCGGGAACGTCAGAGCGAAGACACAACATCACGGCTGGTTCTGGCTGGCAGAAGTACACACTTACCTCAACACCTGCTTCTCTTAGAACTTCTACTTCAAAACAACTTGGAAATGAAAACTGTCGTGGCTTGGTGTTTGTGTAACATAACTTTGAAGTTAGTCCCTAAAGTTTACACTTTCTAAACTAAAGGCAGTGTGCAAGTTGTTCCATTGCTGCAAGTTTTGAAATGTTGATGGTGGTTTTATTTTAGTTATGAGTATTATATGATCTCTCTACCACAAAGTCGTGACATTGCGAATATTCTTTTTGTGTCCTGCCTTTTGTACTGCTGTATAATATAGGCAGTGATGTTTCAGGACAGTTAAACTGGATTTTCAAGTAAATTTTCTGGTCATATTTTAAAAATGTAGTAATGCTGCTAAGAAATGGCAGTAAATGTCAGTATCAGGATGATTTACTCTTTTAGAATCAGAAGGATTTTTGTTTTGCCGGCTGATTTTTGTTTTGCTTCCCTGAAATTTATTCCTAGTGAACATAAATGAATTTACAACACTATGTCAGTATCCCAGACCTTGCAAAAAATTACATAAATGCATGATATTACATACATACTGAATAATATTACCCACGAAATTATTTCATTACTGCATAAATCATCAAACGTTACATATTAGAGCTTAAAAGATAAAAGCATTTTGTGTACATTTCATATCATCGGTATAACAAATGTCATCTGTGGAATGGATATCGTTTACGTTTGATAAATGCCTTTTGGCAGTTGTTCAAACTCTTAGGCAGAGTTGGCTTTCAAGTTATAAATCATTCTGTACAAATACATGTATATATATATGTAATCTATATCATCTGAGGCTCTGGCCTGACCACACAAGGTCTTTGACCGGCAGTAATACAGGCTACGATATAAATTGTGTTCGATTATGATACCTATCGGAAAAAATGCAGTTTTCTTAGTGCAAAGCTTTATTTTATGAGATTAGAGTATGAGTTAAATGTCAGAAACAGTATTATATTGAAAAGAGTAAAAATGCAAAATTGGTGTTAACTACATACCAATTTGAATAACTTCATACCAATAGAATTTGTTAAGTTATTAAAATGTCAAGTTGAGAAATGGGCATCAGTACTTCATTTGTATTGGACAGTCAAATAAATCATTTTATAGAGAATTTATTATAGATTTTTCAAATTTCACGTACTGTGCCTGCATGAAACCCGTAATGTTTTGTGCATAGCACTTCTATAGAATGTCTCTTTCAAGGTTGTATTTGTGTACTTTATATTTAGAGAGGACATTCGGTCTATAGTTTTCATCTATTATTTTGCCTGGGGGAGGGGTGTACTGAACACTGAATACTTGTTCACGATTTGATGATTTTATGGTGGAAAAAGTCACTACGAAAATGGCAAACGTAGACCTACAGTGAATATTGATGATGATTTACTGAACACTGCTTGTGTGTAGACTAAGGACATAATTCCTTTTTGGGTGTAACTCAGCCCCTGTGGAATAGGAAATTGAATTATCCTGATGTTGTTGACCTTACCGTCCTGCTGAAAATTTGAATTTGCATGGAGCTGGGGGACCGTCTCATAAGTCAAATTGTCATTTCTAGACAAAATTTGATTATTGTTTGGGTCAGATTGTTTAAAAATTTTTTTCTTGACTAGAAATAATATAACTTTATTATATAAGTAAGATATTTACAGTATTGTTAATCATAGCTATTGCTTAATATTATTATAATATTAATCATGCTTAAAACATAATCCAGAATGTTTTGCTTTTGATAATATTTCATTCATCTATTCATTCATTGATCAATACAGAAAAATGTAGAATGCCAAATTTTGCTGTTGAAATTAGTAGTTGTGATTTTTTCAAGAAGAACAGCTGTGACATACCAAACTTGCGGAATATGTCAGAGAAATTTTGACAATGTGGTAAGTAACGTGAGAGTGGTAAGGCTAGAGATACTGGTGTTGCCAGTGGCTAGGGAAGGCTTTCATCTTGTTTGAACCCTCCAGGCACCCTGTACAACAGATCTGCAGCAAGAATCTTAATCTGCATCTCATGTTCAACATGTTCAGAGTTGAGCTGCGTATAAATATAACGTTAACCGACATACACTACCAGTGTACCTTGGGTCATTGACACGCATTTCTGGAGAGAATGCAGGACTTACATGTAGTGGCACACTCCCCAATTCTTTTGCAGCTAGACAAGGTTCTCACCAGAATTTTTTGACAGCATACGTGCCAGGTACAGAAGGACAATAGAACTTTCCATGGCACGAGCCACGCATGAAGTCCCATAGATTTGGGGTCTGGTACTGTATTCTCTGTGCAAAATTTTAAAACTCATATGTTCAAAACCATTTTGTATAGTCAGGTATTCCTTCAGTTATAACTTTAATCGTTGTGCAATAAACTTTGACTTGACTTGGGTTCTAAAGTCAAATTTGAACAGTCTAGCTAGCGAAAACCTGACATGGTCTATCGTGATACTTGAAAAAACTTATGAGGTTTGATTACACCCAGCTTGTCTTTTTCTGATGACCCAAATCATTTGTAGAAAATTTGTTAGATGAGTTGTACCTAGTATCAGTATGCATAAATTCACATTTTTTGGCATGAAAATATCGTTTTTACGAGTAGTACCTATATAGGGGGAGTACAATTTCAGGGTTAGTTCTAGCACGGAGGCTAGGTTCAGTCACATGTGATTGAACCTCCTTGGTTCCTAGGTTTATCTTTAGTTTGCCAAAGGTTAAAGCAAGGGAGTGGTTGTTCCAGGGATTTGCTGGCTCTGTGACATTACGGCAGCCTCCGTAGAGAACCGTCCTGGCAATGGTACAAACAGACCTTGACCCTGAGACTCCTATATCTGTTTTAGCGTCAGGAGCCCTGAATGTGAGAGGTGGGGAGGTCAGTGTGCTAAACCCTCAGTCGGAAGGGCGGGGGACGATTGGATAAACAACAGGGCTGATCTAAGCTCTACAAATCTGGGATCGGAAGGCCAGAACAATTGAATTTCTCACTTACAGCTTTAGACCTGTCCACACCAAGTGAATTTTATGGATGACGTCCTTTGGAGACCCTAAATCTAATGCGAGAGGGCGAAAAAAAACCAAGAAGGGCCCTAAAAAACAAGATGCCTAGATTAGAAATATAATAAGAGACGACAAATGTTAGGACACAAATTGAATGAGGTGACACAGTGTAACAAGCAAGAAGTCTTTTAAAGTTTTATTCATCATCAAAACAGCAATAAATCAGGTGGAATAGCAGTTGTCGTCCTGCCCTGTTTTTGCGTTACGGGTTTCACGTCAATCTGACGATTTGCGGCACTGGCGTGACTCTTTGGTCATAGTTACAGGAAGCAGAATTTCTTGTTTTTTTTTCTAGGAACAGGCCAAAATCAATGCGCGCGCGGACGTCATCCATAAAATTTACTTGGTGTCGCCTTAACTGTCTTTGCGATTGCAAAATTTTACGATCTGAGGAAAATGGACATAATGTTCACGGTGGTAGCAAGAGGGGCGAAAGACAAATTATTTCATTACCATAATGATAAGTCCAGAATTGACAGTGAAAACTTATACAGTATGTATGAGTACCAACAAAAATTAGGAATTACAACCAGTAGTATTGGCCTTATTATTGAAGTGACTAAGTACAATCATGTCTGCGTTGGCAATTTCCTTTTTATTGCTCGTTTGACGTCACAATGACGCATATCTTTTATGTTATGATAAGGTTATTAATGCCCCTCTGGAAATGCATTTCAAGATTTGAGGGATAGTCATTTGATGAGTACTTGGCGGTGTCACCTGTCCCTAACTCTGAGTCACTATCTTGTCTGTCCCACATCCTTAGTAAACTGGGACAGGGGGAGGGGTCACTCATTCTCCAAGCAGATGTTGGGCCTGTTTTTAACGTTTTATTTTTTCCTCTTTATGTGTTTTGTTAGGTTTTCTATTTTGTTGGATTTTTTGTGGGCCTACACAAAATAGAAAACCCAACAAAATGCCTAAAAAAGCGTATGAAATTTGATTTTTTAAGGCCAATGCTGAGGCTTGATGGCAGCCCGCCGTTTGCCTTTTTGAGCAGACTTTATGGATTGAGTTCAATACAGGGCAGCATATCTTGAAATTTCTGACAAACAATGGATTTACAGGCAATATGAATCAATAGCACAATAGATGTGAAAGGTCCAAACCCATGAGGTCGTCCAAGGAAGAGATGGATTGACAATATAAGGGATGACTTCTAGTTGTTCAACTTACATTTTTAAAAAGCGTCAACCAAAGCAACCTCAACTTACAAAGCGTCAACCAACAAGATAAAGTTTATCTTGAAGTGGTAGAAGTCCTCCCTTATATTGTCAATCCATCTCTTCCTAGGTCGACCTCATGGTTTGGGCCTTTCACATCTATTGTGCTATTGATTTATATTGCCTGTAAATTTATTGTTAGAAATTTCATGATATCCTGCACTGAACTCAATCTATAAAGTCTGCTTGTCACATTGGAATTACAGACATTGTACCAAATTTCTCTCCCTAAAGCCAATAAGTATGGGCTAGAGTTGAAGCTCTCAATCATATCATGCTGTGGCCCGTGAGTGTGGGTATGTTATTGTTACAGCCTGACTCACTGTGGGGTCATCTCAGGTCATGTCTAGATCCTGTAGATAAGGAGATATTGATGCTACTTGGCATGGGGCCTTCAGCAGGCTGGGGCATGTCTAAGTAGCTTGACAGAGAAGATCATTACATCTTCTGGCAGCAGCAAGAAGAAAAGAAGATTTGGATTGTTGGAATGAGAGCCAGATATCTGCAAACATGGAAATCCTGCTACAAAGACAAAAATTTAGCATCAGAAAAAGAGAAAACATTGTGTATGGGCCATCTCTGATTATAGTTACAATCTCATCTTCTTATGACTGTTCAAGTCAAGATCAAGTCTGGTATGCTTCCTGCTCTTGTAGCTGATGCGAGATATAATCTTGGGAAATAATGTCTGACTTGAGGGTTTTATAAGCTAGATTTCCTTCCTGTAATGCCTACAGCAGTAAATGTGTGACTGTTCTGTCAGCAATTTCAACACTCACACACATAGTCACAGTTTTTTGTGTTCCAGAAACATGCTCCTGTCATACAGTACTCATACCAATTAAATATGATATATCTATTATTAAAAAGCAAATGAATCAACATGGAAACACTCTGAGGAGAAACTGTATACCATATGAAACAGTATCAGGGATTGAATACGGTCAGATGCACCAAGTTTACGGTATACTGTATTAGTGTATAGCACACACTCACAGTATACTGTATACCGTGGTAGCACTCACAGAATATTAGCACTCACAGAATTTTTACAAAAAAAATGTCAGACAACCAGGAAAATAAGTCCCTACACCCTGTAGATGACAATGTTTTGGAATATAGATATCATGAAAAGGAATGTTCTGGATCAACGACTCCGTTGCCATGGCAACAGGCCCCAGCGGGAGGTCCAGAGTTGCCGGCTGTTCTGTGTTATGTAAGGACTACCAGATGTGCATGTTGACATGTTGGACTGTGTTCAAGGTCTGCCAGCTTTTAAACAGTGATACCAGAAACATACTGGATTCAAGTCTACAAAGATATACAGGGGTGGAAATACAAGGCTGGAACCTACCAGAAAATAGTTCCAGATGGCATGTAAAGAAGTAATTTTGCGGGCTAAAAAAGAATAAGGCTATCAGTATACGTAACGTGAGTCGTGAACCAAAATAAAGCACACGTGTGCAACAGAATACAAAATGGTCAAAAGCTATCATAAAGCTATGCACGAACACAGAAAAAGCTTCAGTTTTTGGAGATAGTTGTAAAAGGGTAGGAATAGCGGCTTGCGTATTTGTAGAAAATTTTGCAGATTGTACACTCAAGGTCAAACTTATGGGTGATAGAAAAAATGATCTTGTATTTCCAGCAAATGTTAGCCCCTCAATCTATCTAATAGTATGTCAAATCATTCGATTAACCTTAAACATAGACTCTAAATGGATAATCAAATTACAAGCCTTTTGTTCTGTAAAAAGAACTGTATGACTCTGTATAAGCTGTAGAGAATTGCATGAAGATCTCTAATGTGATATTACAGTAGATAATACGGCAACCTCTGACATGATATCTAGTCAGCCATTGGTTGTGGTAAGCCTGTTTGAAGTTACTGGCGCCGCGCTGACTGTACCAGGCTCCCCGTACATCCTTGAAATAATGTACACGTGACAGCTTTACTGTGTCATCTTCTCCCTCCAGCTAAAAACTCCCCAACTGATTGCTGTAGTCCTGAATTGGGCTGCAGAAAAATCAATATATTGTACACAGGCCTGGAAATACCTACTGCATGTACACTGGTTGAATAGTGCAGGTAAAATTGGAGAGGTGCAGGTACTATAATTCACTTTATGTTGACGGTAGCAAAAGTTCACGGCCTGAGAAAAAAGGACATGTTCACAGAACTATATATAGTATATATTCATGGTGGCGACAGGTGCAGGAAAAAGAAAGTCCAGGAATTATTTTGTTACCTGTAATGATAAGTGCACGGTACAGAAGTGACAGTGAAAACAGTGAACATAACAGTACGGTGAACAAATCAGGAATTACAGCATTTTTGAAGGTACTCATAATGTGTATGTATGTAGCTGTTGAGAGGTGTGAAATATTGCAAATTGTGTGCGAATTATAGCATGATTATTGTCATTTTTTGTGTGGGAGGGCACATTGTAAAGGTGTGTATGAAACTGTTTTGCCTTCCCATTCACATTGTGATAAACTCGAACAAATTATCAGTGGAGCGTACAAACTCTGAGGTAAGTTTGAAGTGCTGCAACTGTACATGTATTTTTCTCTTTCAGGTATCCAACTACATAAATATAATATTTGTTGTAGCTACTAGAAGCTCTTTTTAATTTAACAACATTGTTATTTTTTGTTCTTGTTTTAAAATGTACCGACTGAGCTCCACGATTTAAAACCCTATAATTGTGCAGATCGAGCAGGAAGGTTGCCATCTCACATTTGAACTCCAGTACTGTAAAATCAAGTGTTTTAAAAAGCAGACACTGTAGCTAAATTTCTTAAATAACATAGTGTTGAAACATTTAAAAAGCATTAGACAAAGACACCTTTCAAAAGTGTCTCTGTGCCCCCATCCCTATGATATATTACTAAAAAAAAATTCAAGGAAAGGATAAAAACTTCATCATAATCAAACAAGTGAAATTCTCCTCTCCCCTCCCCATAATGGATAACTATACAGGGATCTTACTTATCAATTTTGTATGATCTATTTCAAAAGTATCTTAAAAGTATAACAGAAATGACCACATTCAACAAGTTTTGGGGAAAACCCACATGAAGAACCACTGGTAAAAATTGCCAATGCCTGCAAAACATGCTGAAAATGAAAATTAGAAAGAATTCCAATCTATTGAAGTGAAAGAAAAGAGGCCCAAATTGCGAAGAAAAAACCCGGCGTGGTTATTGGCTAATACTGCTTTGTTTTTTTCACTCAGGTTGCAGGCAGAAAAGGTTTTCCCCACGTTATCTATGCTCGGATTTGGAGATGGCCCGATCTGCACAAAAACGAGCTCAAACAAGTCAAATATTGCCAGTATGCTTTCGACTTGAAGGCTGACAGTGTGTGTGTAAACCCCTACCATTATGAAAGAGTGGTATCACCCGGAATAGGTGAGTTACAGACGATCTTTTCTTCTATTCTCTTCGCTGTAGGTAGCGGGACGGAAAGTTTTCCCACACGTAATATACGCCAAGATATGGCGCTGGCCCGACCTGCACAAAAACGAGCTAAAACACGTCAAGTACTGCAAGTTCGCTTTCGACATTAAGGCGGATTATGTCTGCGTGAATCCGTACCATTATGAGAGGGTAGTGTCGCCAGCCATCGGTAAGTAAGGACAGGACAGAGTGTGCAGTGACTGTGGTGTATGTATTTCAGTTCGCTTTAGTCTTTTCAGTTTGCCTGCATCCACAAGTAGACTAGCTGTATCCAAATGCCAATCTCACAATTTTTCTTTTTTTTTTTCTTGGCAATGCCTCAGCTGGAGACAACCTTTTTTATGGTACATTTGCCACTAGAGCAGCTTTACATTATATAGATATGCACATTATAGACACACACATGCATGCGTATGTTACATACATTTTTATTTCATGCCAGATTCTATAATTGAGCATAATTGTTGACCTTCTTTGTGCTGTTGGTTTCATTTATGAATGTAAAAAAAAGAAATTGAGTATCAGACTTAAAAGAAATTGAGTATCAGACTTAATGTCATATAGTTTTTGTTATGAAAAGCATGGTCTTGGTGATTTTGATACAAATGTTTCAGGAAGAAGATTATGCATTGAGAATCTTGTTTAACCCATGTGCTTCTTGTTGCAGACCTTTCTGGGCTGACATTACAGCATACAGGTTAGTACATGTACCAGTAAATAGGTTGTATTCTTGTTACTACATAGCTACGTACATTTATGCCCCCCTCCCCCTTCCCTTTCCCCTTCCCCATATTGTATCAGGAAACATAATCGTACTAACCTGTATCTTAATCAACACACATGTTATATAAGTCAGTGTATATGTATGTTGTTGTTGTGAGGGCAGTCTTTTTCAAGGTCATTCTGTCCTCGGTGACAGCACATCGCCTGTACACATGACCTTGAATAATTCCATTCTGACCTTCCCACATCCTTGTGGCTGACAGAAATGTCCAGGGAACTGCTTGCCGCTTTAGTCTCACAACAAATTTCCCAAAACAGTCCTCAGTGGGAACTGTGTTTTCAGGCTTTTCAATGCAAACAGTTGAGAAGGTCAACAACATCTTAGTCATACTGCCATAGTATATACTGTACAGTCAAACCTGCCTATAGTGGTCACTCAAGGGACTGGCCAAATTTGACCACTATGGCCAGGTGACCACTATAGAGAAACAGCCGGTTAGTTGACCCCCCCCCCAAAAAAGGGACACATGCTTTGAGTACCAACAGTGATGTCTTTATTCTGAAACATATGAATACATACATTTGCAAAGGTAAACCCCTTTTATGTGTACATGTCTTAGTTCAATAATTTGTTGTTCTTTTGCTTTAGTTGTACTTTATTTTGTACTTGCTTGAAAAAAAAAGAAATACAGAAATATTGCATGGAAACATTAACTTGACATCAAAGATACATACACTCAACATATTCAGTTCATCTACTTCTGGGACAATGAAACCATTCACATTAAAA